GCTAAGTGTGCCGGGACAACTTCGTCCAGCTATGGTGTCCCTGTCTCTTTAAGACTTGCAGAAAGCACTCGCTTTTCTTTTGTCTCAGGGGTGCCAGTTGTGGGAACCTGCCCACAGGTTTTGCTTTTCTATTTCTCTAATATCCAGCCCCCCGTGCGCTTTGTGTCTGCGCTCCGGGTGCGGATTTCTAGAGCTGGTTGTTTAGCAATCCTGGGCTTTCACTCCCTCCCCGTTCTAACTCCTTTCTTCCCACCAGGTTCTGGGGTGGGGGAGCGTTGGGTATCAAACCCCTGGCTGCAGCTTGTATCTTACCCCCTTCATGTGATGCTGAATTCTCACAGATGTAGATGTATCCTGGCTGTTGTACTGCATCCACTAGTGTCTCTTCTAGGAATAGTTGTATTTATTGTATTTTCATAAATATATATGTTTTGGGGAGGAGATTTCCTCTGAAGTACTCATGCCACCATCTTCCTGTGATCCCTTATCTTTTATATACTTTAATAAATACCTAAGAATGTAACTAGTCTGCAATATCACTGTCCTATGATTACATTATGCAATAAAGCTTAAAAACTATCATTCTTCATATTCATTCATTCAAAAGACAAGACTTCCAGAAATATGCAAATTTATTTGTTTAAAAAAGAAACTTGTGGAATTTATTCAGTTAGTTTATCTAATTGCTATAGCAATCTTGCTTTTTAATGATCAACAAATATGGTTTTAAAAATTCATGGATTATTTAAGCTTATTATTTTTATTAATATAATTCCATTTAATTGTGCTTTATGAGATGTCTGGTTTTAAATCTGAGTAAAAACATGTAATAGATACATTTTTTAACATATAATGCTGACAGACATAACTGTCACTTACCTTTCCATCACTGTTAAAAGGCTTATAACAGATGGAACAAAAATCATTTTCTGCTCAGTCAGGATTCCATTCATCAGCCTATTTACTACTTCCTCAGGTTCCAGGGTGGGTCCCAGGCTGAAATCAGAAGCAGTCCTCAGAAACAAAACAATTCACTGAGGCTACAGCTTGGTGCTAAACAAAAAGTTAAATTACCATAGGAACCATAACAGAGCTCACTTGTAGCATCCAGCACATCATAGGTGCTCAAAAATGGTAGATGCTTTAGCCTTAATAACAACAACTACCCTTTATTTAGTACTTATCATGTAGTGCATACCATGCTATACATTCTATGTAAGTTATGCTACTAAAATTTTACAACAACTCTATGAAAGAGCTAAAATTGTCCCTATTTTACAAAGGAGAATTCAGAAGTAACTAGGACTCAAAAATAATTTATCTATATTAGGGCTGATAAATTCACTTTGAAAACCTTTAGAAGTCTTGGGAAAGAAGTCAGATACCATTACACAAGTTTTATTATATACCAAGACTCTTTAGTGAACAATATCTAAATTGTCAGAGGAATTAAAATATAGTAATGTGCCTGGCTCTACATCTTGATCTCCATATGGAACTCTTATATTTTAAGGTCTTGACTTAATTTTCAGCTTTGTTACTTGGTTCCATATTACATCTTTACTCTGTGTAATCAGTTTGGTATATGCACTACTGAATAGCAAGTAGTCCCTAAAAAGTAGCTTTGTTGGAGCCATGAATATACAGTGGGGAAATGACAGCCTCTTCAACAGTTGGTGTTGGCAAAACTGGACAGCTACATGTAAGAGGATTAAACTGGATCATTGTCTAACCCCATACACAAAAGTAAATT